TTTATAACTTACTTTTCAAATGATTGATGAAAAACTTCGTTTATAGTAAACGCGATTTGATTAACCCTTTTCTATAAATCGTCGAAAGGTTTATCATCGTAAAAATATAATTACAAGATTAATAAAAATACCATTGAATTAAAAAGGTTACATTACAGCATTAGCCTTATTAGTAAGTTAAACCTACGTTAAATACTTTTGGGGAAAAACCAACGTAAAAGTTATGATATATATTAGTTTTATTTCAATAAGAATTAAAAGGGTATGAAACGAGATATACAAGTAAATGAATAAATACCGATGATTCTTAACTTTAAGCGAACATATATCAGGAAAAAAATACGATGACAACCTAATTAAATAATGTTGATACTATATTTTAACCCGTTAATATTACGAAGTTATCCAAAAGAATACTAATCGCTTAAATACGTATAAATTAAAACCATTTAATTAGCAATAAAAACTACGGTAGTTTAAGTAACCCTATTAAGAAAATACGGCTACGGGAAATTCGCAGTAATAGTATGAAAAGGGTTGAACGTAATTTAAAAGTATTTCTGAAAATTATTGTTAATATTTTAAAAAGGCTTAATCAAGGGTTTCGAAAAGGCCTTATTAAAATTTAATATAAGTATTTAGGAAGCGTTTATAAACGACGGCTACGTAGGTAGAAATATATTTTAAAAAAGACGATCTTATTATTAAACGACTTAAAGCTATGTTTTAAGATATTTATTACTATATTCGGCTTTGCAAACGATATTTTTAAATTGTTAATATAAATAATATACACGGTATTAACGAGTAAAAAATGCTCGATTTAACGTTAGAAGGTAAATTATTACCGGCTTTATATTTCACAGCGCTTTTACCTTTATTAGTAATTAAATATATAACTTATATCATTAAGGGTTCTGCTACTTTATTAAGCTTCGCGTTAAGTTCGAGGTTCCCCCCCCCCCCCCCACCTAACTAACACGAATTTCGATAAAAAGTCATAAAGGCCATTAACAAGTTTTTCTTTTCTTTCAAGTTGTAAACTTATACCTTCTACTTTATAAAGAACCTTGTTATCATCGCCGCTTAATATAAATGAAAATAAAAGATTAAATAACGAAAAACAACAAGAATAAGCTTTAATAAGGTTATCGAGTTTGTTTTTAACCTTTTTAATGGTGTTTCTTAATACTATATACGGTTAAATAGAACAGATTTAAATCGTAACCGTTGAATAAAACTTTAAAGATATATAAACGCCGCCTTTTGACGAAAGTTCTTTTTTTAATCAAGCGATTTTAATTTTTATTTACATTTACAGGTTATTTATAATCTTTCAGATAGTTGATGAAACTTTAAGATATAATGGTATGGTTATTCAACCATATATAGCCGAAAATGATGCTGTATATTTATAATAGTAGCTTTTATATGATAAAAAATAAGCGACGTGTTCTACGTAAAAATATCTTTACCGTGCGAACTTTGTTATTAATAGAAACAAATTATAAGGCTTTCATGCTTTATGTTTCAAGTGGTTGCGATAACTTTATAAAGTTTATAATTAATTTTAGTTACTATTTAAGGTTTAAAAAAAGTCATTACAAGTGAATTTATTTAAGAATATTATGAGAATAATAGAAGCATTCATTCGAAAAGAAGATCTAGGTAATATACGTTTTTGAAACTTGAACAGATACTTCAAGTTGATTTATTATTAGTGTAAGCTAGTAACGTTCTTTTTATTGTTAATAACAAGTTTGAACTTTTATAAATTAATAAAGACAGTTAAATGTTAGCTGATATTTAGGCTTTTAATAAGATGTTGTATTATTAAATAAAAAAGTAGAAATTTAAATAAAATCCTATACTAATTTCATTAGAAAATAAAAAGGTAGATATATTTTAAATTTTTAAAAAACATATTAAATGATAAATTTAATTTCGTTATCTTTAGCTTTTACGTTATAAAAGTGAGAAAAGGCTTTATGATAAAAGGTATGGAGTTATATTATTTTATAATTGTAAGTTGCTTAAATATAGTAGCGTTAAAGCTTTTATAGTAAGGAAAAAAGGAAAAAAATATAAAGACAATACTTTTAAGCTGAAAATAGTGACAAAAAATTTTATTCGAGCAAAGACATTTCGCTTCTTTTTTTTAAAACCGTTTATTAATTGTGATTATAATTGTTAGATTTCGTTTACTTACTTATTACGTGTAGGTATAATATTTTGCGATTTATTTTTCTACAGTGCTTTAACAAATCTTCTTCCTTCTATGATTATTATATACCGGGCTAAATCTTTTACTAATAAAGTTATTTTAAATACTATAAATGTTTATATTATTAGCCATAAAGTATTTTACGAATAAATATTAATGTTCTTTTCTAAGCCTTAGTTTTGATATTATTATAAATGTTAGTAAAGAAAAGAGCTCGTTGTTACAACCAGGTAATATTATTATCTATATTTATATTTATATTCCGTATTATTAAGCTCTTAAATTAAATTTCCTACGTATTAAAGCACCTCTTTTTGTTTTTGTTGTTTAAAAGTAAATTCATAAGGTTTTTTTTTTCTTTCTCTTTCGCGTTTAATACGTAACTTAAAACCTTGCGATCATCCCATCGGTTATATTTTTATATATAAATTTAACGTACTAGCTCCTCTCGATAATGCTTTAAATTATATTATGGATCTTTATACTGTCTAATCTTATTAAGAGATTAGCGTCATTATTTTAACTAATTCCTTTTAACGTGAGCTTGAAGCAGCGTATTAACCACCCTATTTGCTTAATTATTTCAAAGAACGCTTTTTAAACAAAATATATCTATATCTATATTGAAAAGGACTTATAACCGAGGCGAACCTTTTTAAAGAACTAATTTAGTATTACTTTCAGTTTTATCGTTATTTATAATAGCCTTGCCTTCTTTAATAACTTTTAGCTCTCGAATTTATTTTTAAAACATTACCATCTCATATTATAAAGCATTCACGCTACTTAACGCACCCTTACATATAACATTACTACTACCTTTATTTGAAGCTATCGTGAAAGTAGTTAAAAGATTTTAATTATTATAAGAGGTCGTTAAAACGTATTATATGCACTTTAACAGCTTTAAATGATGTTTATTTAATCGTTATCGGACATGTTATTACATGGAAATTAAAGGTTAAGATGGGATAGATCTAGTTCGGTGTTTTTGTTATAGACCTATAAGAGAGACTCTTACTTAGATATAGTTATAAAAGCCTTTTAATACCTAGTTGCTTGATATTAAATAACAAGCCTGTTAAATTACGCTTAAATGCACCTCTTTTCAACTTTTCAAAGTCTTTTTTGCCTTTTTATTTTTATACCTTATTTCCAGTTATAAGATATACTTAAAAGTTATTATAATTCTTATATATAGCTTTATGTACAACTCTTTAAGTTTATTTTATTTTATATTTATTTTTTAATTTAGCTAAGTATTTTTTGTTTGTTATAATTAATATGCTAAAAAAACGCATATAAAACCACCCACTTGTCGGTTTTTTGGTTTTTTTTGCGGCTAAGGCGGATATGCTACCGTATTAAACATTAGCCTTAATATTTCAAGTTATATCATAAAAAGTGCTTTTGAATGAGTTTAAACTTTAAATCAAAGTGGAAGTTTAAACATTTTCTTTTTAAATAAACAATATTAGCTATATAATTATCTGGAATTTATTAAACAGTTTTATGATATATACACCTTTATTAAATAAAAGCTGGTTTGAAATTTGTATCTGTTTAAAGTTATTTTAAGTATATTTTCAATAGTTTTCAGTTTTATATTAATAGGTTTAATTAAATAGTTTAGAAAGGTATAAATATATCATTTAATAAGTGATGTTATTATAAAGTCTTTTATAGATTAATTGAGTTTTTAAAGGGGTTTAGGGTTTTTAATACCATATGAGCCAATTTAATTTTTTTATAATAGTTTTTTGTAAAAAAGAGGTTTTAACCAAATTAGTTATTTTTTAAATCCCTTATAAGCATATAAAGGTCTTTATTTCATATTAATGATTAAATCTCGGCGCGTTTTATAATCCGTTTTTAAATCTTAAATCTAAACATTCTTTATAATAACCTTTATATATGAATTATATGAATTTTTTTGGGAGTTTTTAAGGGTTTATAATAAAGTACGTTTAAGTATTTGTTAAATTAATAGAGATTTTATTGTCATCCCCTTTGAATTTTAACATAATAAGTTTATCTGTGCGAATGGGAATAAGAAAGTTCGAGTTATTTATTAAATATAAATTAACTATTACGATTGTTTTGTTATATTTATAAGGATTATATCGAAAGTTTTAATAATAAGTTTTAAAATGTTTATCTTAACAAAATCACAGCTTTATTTATTTATGACTTAGTATGAAAAATATGAAGCTGACTTTTTAAATTAAATAGCGTATATAAAAATGTTAAAGACGTTAAGCTTTATAAAGAAGCTAGTAGAAATAAAACCTATGCTAAAAATAGCGTTATTTTTATTCGAAAATTAAAGAATTATAATGTAGTTAAAATTCAAGCTTACTATGTCAAAAATGTTAACGTATAAAGCGATTTTAAACACCCGGTTAAGTCACGGGATAAGGCGTATCATTACGTCACGTTTTTTAAAGGTTATAAAAATAGCTATGATTAATAGTTAATAAGTTATAATAAACATCGTAAGATTTAAAGCTTAATATGTTAACTAAACAAAAGCGTTTATTAGCGTAATAGCTAGTTAAGGTAGGCTATTTACTAATAGCAGGTGGTAAGAAAAAGAAAAAAAACAAGGTGTGGAGAAACCGTTACATGGTTATAGCATACGTAGCAGGCTAACCAACGCAGGCGAGGGCTCGCTACTCTGGAGTTACGTCTGGAGACATTGATCTGCCCATATGCCTTCATATTCATCTTTGACCTCGTCCTCGATCTGTTACATGAATATCCCAAATTCTCACGTCTACTGCCCTGTCTCCGCGACCTCGCCATGAATCTTCAGATACTCCTTCGCCATCGGCGACCTCGTCTTGAGCCCCTGAGGCAGAGACTCCGCGTTGCCGAAGACTTGCCTGTACTTTTCATTCGACAGGGAGTTCTCAAGGCGCCACTCCGTGTAGTGATTGAAGTCGATGCATTGCTTGTTGATGCTCATGTCGGGCATGGGCTTGGGGATGGGTCGCGACTTGTACCAGTGCATCGTGATGACTGTGGCGTCGTCAGTTCCTACACTCTCTTTTGGTCTGGGTCAAGGGAAGTTGGCCACGTACAGTTCATATTCCCACTACACTGAACAGTCTGCACGAGGCTGTCGATGCAATGATTGGCGTGGATTTCCTTCTTCCCTTCTCTCACCGGATCCAGCTGTGACATGTTGTAGTATGTTCCGTAGGCAAACTTGCGCAACGTGTCGATGCAGTGTAACTGGTGGTTAACACTACATGGCAATAATGTCAGCATACCTTCGTATGATTGTCCCGGGTGGCCCATCTTGTGATCAAGGCCCGGAAGTCCTGCACCCAAAGCAGTAGCACTTCTGGATGTCCTTGCGATCGGGTCCAAGGTGCCTGGGATACGTACTCCATCACACCGGCGTACTTGTCGTCTCCCAAACCCCAATACTTGTCTTCAAGGTGCACAGCAGTCTCGATGTCTTTCCCCGTTATCCTCAGGTCGTTACTCGTGAGAGGGAAAAAGCGGGGCTTCCCCCATTCGTGCCAGACCTTGTCGGCCTCCTTGTTGGGCATCTGTCGTGCTATAGAGCGTGGCCCTGGTCTCTCATCTTCGGGGAAAAGCGAGCCGTTGATGTTGACGGTGTGGAATTTCAGGTCCAGCCAGTCGTATGCAGGGCCTTCGCCTGGTGTTACTTTCTATACGAAAGAGTTGGAGGGGGTTGGCTTACTGTAGAAGTGGGACCGTCTGAGTTCGGGATTCAGACTATCATCGTGATATATGTGTAATCTGATAGAGAGTATGGAAAACAGAGCAATGGACAGGCAGTTGAACAGCATTAGGGTAGACGCCAATCTGATCCTACTTGTCGAGCGCGCAGGGCCGCTGGTATCCCTCCCGACGAACGGTTGCTGTTCGTCGTCGCCGCCGCCGTCGCTGTCGTGATCCATATGACTGATCATATTGTCTAGTAGGAGTCTTGCGCTGTCTGACAAGATGCTGGTGAACGAAAAAAAGTATGTGTAGTGGCAGGCAGAGATGTATTCCACTCCAAAGCCCAAGGGTGGGTTATATGGAACGATGGCCGCCTCAGCCACCAAAATGACAGTGGCCAAAGTTCCCAGAAATATAACGTCTGATGAAGGGACAACTAATACATGTCCTGTGTCTTCGCCTACTCCGAGGGCGAACTTTCAGTCTCTTCGCCGCCAAGCACATCTAGAAGCCAAAGGACGGGGTCCACGACGTGGAGGTTGGACCGTGCCTGCGAGGATGCAGGGTAGGTAACGGAGTGCGTTCCCGGTCGCCAGAATAAAGACGAATCCAGGCAGCAGTGATTGTTGACAGTGTCGTGAACAAAGTTCGTGACTTCCTTCGAATCCACATCGCTGGTTGCTTGTGGGTTAGAAGGATGACCGCTGAGCTCCATACTGCCTCTGCCACGCACCGAACTCTTTTCTGGGAGACATATCCAAAAACAGGTGGTATGCCCATGTGTGTCGGTATGTGTCCGTCGCTCCACCTTCTCCGTGGGTCAAAACCAAGCGACTCTGGCGTTTTGGCCTTCGGGACGAGACAGCTGGCACACCACCACCACCACCAGCGCCACCAGCGCCACCAGCAACAGCGCCAGTAACGGCGGTAGCGGTGAACCCAGCAGAGCAACGCCAGCAGCGATACCACCACCAGCGGCGATATCACCAGCAGCATCAAGATCAGGGCGGGGCGACGGCGTGGATCGCCAAACGCGGCAGATGTGGCCATGAAGCCGGGCACGCCGGGCCTGCCAGCCTATGACTGACCGAAGAGGAAGAGGAGGAAGTGGCATGGTGATTCCTGTGACGATCTACCACGGTAGTCCTACCCCTACTGTATGGGTATGTCATATCCCCGGTCAAGTCATTAGCGCTAGACATGGGCTTCAACCATGGGTGTCTCGCGGATGTATTTTTTTATGCTTACCTAAAGTGGATGGCGCTGGGAAAGTAGTAAACGAAAAAACTTCGTAGACTACAACCTCTCATGAAGAACCATTGTTCAAATAACCAGTCGAATAAACCCACCACTAAGCCAACGATCTATCCAGGCGAAATCACTAGAAGTAAGTGTACAAAGACACGAACAAACGGAAGCTATGTTACAAAAGCAAGAGCAAACAAACCCCGAACCAATTTCCGTATATATTCATGTGTGTCGGTGTGTCCGCCGCTCCACTTAGAACTTAATAAGTTCCAATACAACCTAGAACCTAATAAGTTCTGTTACAGGTAATAAGGATGATAATCCCTAGCGTGACGCTATACCGGTGAGGTTTCAGGTCCGTACTGGATAAAGCCTTTTTCTTGTGAAGCAATACCGTTGATTATAGTGTTAATCATGGCAGAATTCCCACTTCATGTATATTCCCTTATATTATAGCAGAGGGAGTACGGACCCATAATCGCGCCGCGCCAGGCATTACCATCCTTGTTACCTTAGCTGCATGCGGAGTACTCTGGAAATAGCAAATCTCTAACAGGATCCATCTAGTACAGTACCTTGTCGATGCGGTTGGAATCTAATGTTGCCCCCTGAACTGTCGTCACTGTTATCTCCTTGAGTGCTCGTCTGCACCAGGTTGTAGTGTGCATCCCGATAGGCTCTACCCACTGTAATAGGAAGGGCTTTCGTGGAGTTCCGAGTTCATAGACATCAGATCAAGAATGGAGGGCTCTCTTTGGTCAGAGAAGTGGCCACAGGTAACCGAATGGCATCACATGTGATCCTCCAGGTACTGTACCTGGTTGTTGGTGAGCTGGTACCTACGAGCACTCAAGGGGATAGCGTCAGAGTGGTCCTCGCTCCGGTGACGAGCACGTCTCGGTGACAACGCCTTGGTTATCCAACGAGTGGCGATCACTGCTTACGTGACGTAGGTATTTGAGTCCCATGGTAACTATGTGCCTAAACTGTCAATGTGGACTATAAAGGGTTCCAGATTCCGCAAACTTCTTGGTCAACCTACACACCACAACTTTCTCTTCAGACTTCCAGCACACCACAGCTCTATCTTCAAAATTACACTTCTCCGTACCGCATTACCCTTCCTACCAACTTCTCTGTTACTTTGGATCTCTTCTCCCAAAAATCATGCTCTCCCTCAAGTTCATCGTCGTCTCCGCTATGGCCATCGGCGCAGCCTTTGCTGCTGTTGCTATCCCTCCTAGAGAAGCCCAAAAGGCATCAGCAACTACCCATGAGGCACGGGGCCTTCTGGACCACTTCCGCCACGACTCGTACGTATCAGTCCCTATAACAGCAGTTTCAAAGTTAACATCGTGGCACCAGTGCTAGCGACCCCGAACCCGAGGAGTACGGGTACAACGAGCTGGATGATTTCTAAGGAGTATCAGGGTGCCGGCGTGGGATGACTCTCTGGAATCACATCATGTTCATTGCATTGCCCATTCTTTAGAAAACTCCTCAGGACACTTGTTATCACGATGGATTCAGTACTCGTCATTCGTTAGGCGTTCAGGTTCAACTTTGTTCATACTGTACTGGGGCAGGGTTGTTAGCCCACCCCTATTCCGCAGGACCACCACCACCTTCCTTTAGCATATAGACATAGAGACGCGCGTGCAGAATACACTCCTTTTCGAGCCTTAAACAGACCGTATTTGCCCTACTCAGTAAAATCCCTTTATTTTAAGATAACTGTTATTTCCACAGTCTCCGATTTCCAGACTACCCCACATCGCAGCTGGCAGATCAATCGGCAGGTGTAGCCACCACTATCTGCCACCACGCGCCAGCTGCTAAGAACAGCTCTCCTAGGGGCATCTCCGTTTCTCGTAGCAGCAACATCTCTCTTCTCGCAGCAGCAGGATTTTTCTTCGCGTAAAGGTAATATCTTTCGCGGCAGCGGCATTTTCTATCTCTCTCACAGCGGCGGCATTTCCCTTACGTTGGCAGCATTTTATATACGGCGCGCTCTCAGTACGTAATATACATAATATATATTATTCAATTAATTAGTATATAACTCCTTAATAAAGGTATAATTAACTAATTCTCTTTAATAAAGTATTAAAGTGCACCTGCTAAATAATTTACCAGTTGTAAAATAAGGTGTTTATAAAATAAGCATTTTTTATTCTAAACGTGTCAAGTTATTTATAATTAGCTAAATTCTTATATAGTATGTAAGTAGGTAATAAATTTCTGTTTATATTTCTTTGAATTTTGATTTAATATTTTTTTTAAGTATTTACGTAATAAGCCTATAATAAAAGCGAGAGATTAGAGAGGTTTTTTTTTGAATTATTTATAATTAGCCTCGAAGCAATCTTTTATACGTATGAATATTCACTCCTAGGTATAAAGCGATAAAAGGCCAGTTATTATATATACGTTAACTATTTTATTTTATTCATTATATCTAGGTATAGCTTTTACCTACTTTTAGTTACACCTTTATGTAGTACGTCGGCTGTTTGCCTCGAGCTTTATCCAGGCCGAAACTTAGCCGTTTAATATCCGTTTAATATTTAACTCCTGTCGGTTGTTACAAAATTTTAATATACTTAGCTCATACTTTCCGCGTTATTTTGTTAAGCTTACTTGGTAGCTTTTAATTTATAATATCTAAAACTAGCCGAATTTTAATGTTTTTAACGTTATCGGAGATATTTTAATTCTTGAGCTAGCCTTTTATTTATTACGTAAAAAGCGAACTCGGTTTAAGGTTTATTTATTAAAAAAGCATGGCATATATATTTTACTAGTTAACGCACGGTCGATAATATCGCCGTAAGAAGGTTTTACCTTATCAACTTTAATCGATGTGTTATAAGCGTAAGCCGTAAGTCCGTTAAACTGCTGTAACGTTATATTTAACGTTAATTTACGCAATCGAACAAAAATAAAACAGGTGTAAAAGATAAATAATAAATAACTTTACATAGGTAATTAAGTTAAAAAAGATATTTAAAATTTAAAAGTATATGAAGTTTTTAAAAATTTCGTTAAACGTTAATATTAATCATTATGACTTAATAACTGTTCCGATAAACAAGTAGATTTTTAAAATAATAATGTAGTTAAAGTTTGTATGAATTCTTACAACATTAGCAAAAAATACGATAATAATTCGATGGCAAAACTAAATTAAATTTTATAAATTTTATAATCTCTTTTTCGTTTAACCAATGCTAATCAAACCTATGTTTCAAAGCTAATTTTAACTTTTTTATAAGATATAACGAATGTGTAACAGCCTTTTAATATTTATCGTAGTAAGCTTTACCGTATTCGTCTAATATCTGAAAATTCTTAATAATAAATATTTAATTTATTAAAGTTCTTCCAAATACAAGATTAATATTAGAGCTTACCGTAGTGAACTTACGATATAAAAACTATCCTTATTTTCTATATGTTTTTATTAAAATTAAAATTAAATAGTAACTTTTTAGGCTATTTAAAAGTTTACCTTCATACGAAGTTATTAAGATATTTACGTAAATAATAAGCCTAAAGTTATTAAAGTCCGCGCTACTAATTGACTAATTTTAATTTAAACGTATTGAACTAATTATTGAATTAATTATAATCTTATAATATGAACAGTTTTTAAAAACCTAAGTTCATTTTTAAGCATTGGTTTATTATGTTAATCCTTTGATAAACATAAATAGGTATATAATTGTTCATATTATAATTGAAATCTTAAATACTCTTATTTATCTATTTTAAATAGAAATATTATTATGAAATAATCTATATACGGACTTATATGAGTTATAAAACTTAACATGATTCATAATAAAAACTATTATCTACCAGATTGGTTTTTTTAAAACGTACAAGTTGAAAATTTAATTATTTGATATATTTATTTATCATTACGGTGTAATTAACCAATTATTTGTGATTGAACCATAAAATTATATTTTGCGCTATAAGATTTTTACCGTTTGTTTAAAAAATCTAATTTTTTTAATAATGTAAAAAAAGTTCAAATTAATAAAAGAATTAATACGGGGTTTGATTTTTTTTAATTAGCATTTTAAATCATACCTATATTAAATGTAACGTAAACCACTAAAATTTTAAAACCAGGTTGATAATGATAATAAACAAATAATCCCAATTTTTTTTCGATAATAAAACCTTTCTCAACGTTTTTCAACATTTTTAAGAAAGTGAATAGATTCGGATTTTTATTATAAGCCTTCTTATTTATTTATAATCATGATTATTAATCTATTAATCAAATAAACTTTACTAAGAACGTTAAGGTATTTGTAATATTATCTTATAATAAGTTCAGGAGCTTATTATTTTTTGTCGCCTTTATTATTATTGAATTAAGGTTTATTATAAGGGCTAATATAATAAATATATAAACAGTAATAACGTTATATTTCATGCCTTTATTTTATTTGAGTTAAGAAACGATTTCATTGTACTTATTTTTAAAAAAGGCTAGCAGTATTAGCCGATACCGTTTTGCTTTATCACGTATTACTTTTAAATATTATACTGAATTTATTCAAATACAAAGGTCTGAAACCAGTTCTCAATCAAAATATATAACTTTATCGTTATCATATTCATAATTAAGCTAGCTATTTATATGATTAAGATTTAATGAAACTTGCGTATAAAAAATACGTTAAGGTTGAAAAATAATAAGTCGAAATTTTTAAAAGAATAGTTTTATATTACTAACGTAAGAATCTATAATTTTATAATTAATTACGTTTGAAATATTATAATGTAAATATTTAATGTGTTTATATATAAAATAAAGGTTAATATTCTTTAATAAGGTTGAAACGCTTTTTCGATTCATATAATTCAAAGGTTCTAAAATATTTTCTTTATCAAGGTATAATAGCTATTGTTGATAATATTAATAGTATTACGTAAATGTATTTTAAAACATACGGGTAAATATTTTAAAGTATTTATTACTTTATTATGTTCGATAGCGTCTTAATTGAATATATTGTCTTGAAGTAAGTTTTCTTATTCAATCTATAGCAAATCTGAATAGGTTTAATAACTAAGAAGTTGTTTAAAACATAAAAGAGGCTTTTATTATAAAAACTAAATGAAGGTTTTTTTTTTAAATCTTTTACCGACGATTGAATCATGTTTTATATTAAGTAATAATAAGAAAATGATACATATATTGTTTTTTTAATATGGCAGTAACTATGTGAAACTATATCGGTTCTTTTTATAGATTTATTATTATATTTAAAAATTGAATCGAAAGAAATCATTTAATCTATTTAATTTGTTAATGTTTAAAGACTTATAAAGCGAACTATACGTTCTTTAACCTATGCACATTTGTACTTATATTAATGAGGCATTAAGTAAATTTTATTCATTGATTTATTCATTAGCATATAAATAATTTATAATAATCTTTTTTTAAATACTTAAGTAATAATATTAAACGGTGTTTTGTAGGAAATATTTTTATTTAATGTTTTTTTAATAAATGTATAAACTTATTTTAACTTTCCTAAGTATAAACTGATATAAGAGCCGTTATTATATTTCCGTTAATTATATTGTCTTTTTTATCATATGTAGGTATAGCTTTTAGTTATTTTTAGTTGCACTTTCATCTAGTATTTCTGTCGGCCGTCTACTCCGAGCTTTATCTGGCTTAGCTGTTTAATATGGTTTTTAATCAACGTTATAAGCGACGCTTAGCCGTTTGACATGGTTATGCCTAGCCGTTTGATGTTTAATAAGTCGGTTTCCGGTTTTTACATTGCGCGTTGTTTGGTTGATATTTTTCGACTAAGTCTAGTCGTTTTCTTCGCCATTTATTAATAGCTGTAAATTTTAACATATTTAGTTAGAGCTTTCCCCGTTGCTTTATTAAGCTTATTTCGCGGCTTTTAGTTAATATGGTTTAGTACCGGTGAATCTGGATATTTTTAACGCTATCGGGAATATTTTCGTGTTTAATGTGGCTTTTTAACCGTCATATGAAGGAGGAGCTTTTGAAAAATTTTGCTTCAAGAGGAAGTATAGCGTACGTGCTTAATTAGGTATCGTAAGGTCGATGATATTATGGTAAAAAGATTTTACTTTAATAGCTTTAAATATAAATGTTTAAAACGGTATTTAAGCGACGTCGTTTTACAAGCGTAAAGGCTAGGTTTGTTAAATTATCATAACGTTATTGAAAGCGGTTTTAGCGTTTTAAACCTGGTATTTACAACGAAAAGAGAATATTCAAGTTGGTTATATAAAAGGAAAGAAAGAAAAACAGGTTTTAGCTTTCGTTAAACTTTTAAATAGCTTATAATAAAGATTTTTCGTAGCGTAAGGCCGTAAACTTCATGACTATTAAAGTTTACCTTAGTATTA